ATGCATGTTCACATACTTTCGGAACTCAGTTTTCGATTCCGTGTGTGTGTCTTGGCTATGGCTGCACAGACTGTTTAGCCGCAGTCTGCCTACTCGTGGGAGCGTAGTAACCGTCAGTTGCACGCGCTGCTTGTTGGCTGCGTCGACAACTCGGCAACTCGGCGATCTGGGATGACTTCGCCTACTGGGTGCGTAGCTACCTGCAGAGGAGACATCAGGACACGGTAAGAGGTAACATGATGAGGCAACTATGATGACGGACGGCGGGTGCGTGGGTGGAGGGGTCACACAAAGGTACCCGATCCGGAGAAGCTGGATCTTACTTGCAGCTAGAAACGGCCACGGCGGCTATTTCGGACGAACAAGAAAAGGAGCGACCCGAGTGAACCCACAGAGGGGATGAGGAGAGCGACAGCTATACGGTCTCGGTGTTATACTTATTGACGTCGAACTCTTAGTACTAGGTTCCGCTTTCTGACGAGATGCCGACGCCATGTGAGGGGTGCGGCGGTAGGTGCGATGTACACAGGAGACGTTCCACCGTACGGACTAGGCTTATCCAAGCGCTTGAAGAGTACGTGAGAGATACTGTTGAGCCTATGCACTACCTGATAGGATACGTTAATAACGAAGCACTTCGTATGGCCTTATATGAGAAGCTGATGGACTTGCTGATTAGGATTGAAACCACGGTGTTAGTGTTACGTACGAGACGGCAGGTTAGCTATCGTGAAGTTGTGGATATCTGAAGAGAGTAGTTCCGACTGTACGGAATGCGATCTGCTTCGAAGCCAAGTATATTCCAATAAAGCACGGATACACCGCCTACATACGGCTGGTTAGCTGCCGGGAATTTGGGGATATCTGGAGGGTAGTTCTGATGGTCCGATACGATTCTTCAAGGCCGAAGTAGATCGAGAACGAGCTAAGAGTGAGGGACGGAGATAACAGGAGGTGCACACACTATCCGGAGAGACATTGACTGACTGGCTGATTCGCCGAAGGCATAGGCATAGACAGGATGTTGCTTACAAACGGCCCGGGCGGCGGAGGAGGGGGAGGTGGTTACAATAATGCGCCCAATGGATAGGCGTAGGCAACTATGGGGGTGGTAACGGTTACGGTAGCAGAGGGGGAGGCGGAGGGGGAGGGGGAGGCAACAACGCATGTTTTAACTGTGGAAAGATCGGACATTTCACTCGTGATTGCTGGGCGAAGAGAGGAAGAAACTATAGTCCACAACAAGGTGACCCCGAGCTAGAGGAAATAAAGGAACACTTTCGGCAGCTTCGGAAGGAAAGATATGAACTAGAGGAGCAGTGTAGACTGGAGGAAGAACGAAAAGCCAAGGAGGAAGATGAGATACGTAGAAACCAGGATTTCGCGCGGAAAGCGGAGGAGTTTCGATTACAGCTACGCGCCGAGCTTCTAGAAGAATGGAGGAGAACTAACTCGGAAGCTAAGGAGGCAGTAGAGAAGACTAGGAGATCGACACAGAAGCACGCTGCGAAAAGTGGGAGTGGAACCAAACAGAAGACAGGCCGGAATCGGAAGAAGAAGGTACGGGAGTCGTCGAGCGAGGAGTCGGAATCAGAGAATACATCCAATGAAGAGATATCAGACTCGTCAACTAGTGACGCTAACACGGAAGGAACGAGAGCGTGTTTGAAGGCACGCGGTAAGCGCACGGTGAAACGATCGAGGTGGAAAGTGAAGCCGAAGAAGGATAAAGGCAAGAGAACTTTAGAGCGCACACCACCGAGTAGAGTTTACGAACGGGGCGAAAGCTCCAAACAACTGCCGGTGAGACAAGAGGATGAACCTGGCTTCGAAGATATGAGGGACAATTGCGAACCTCAGACACCCTTGACCGACAATTTCAAGGGTCTCTCAGCCGGGTGCTTACAAAAGGGACTCATCGAATACTGTATCTCAGCTCATAAGATTTACTCCACCAAGAAAGTTGACGTGCTGAGGAAGCTATGCGAGGAGAAGGGACTGAAGTACACGAAGAAACCGGAAGCTGTCGAGATACTTGCGAGACACCAAGTTCAACTAGCATACGACGGCTTCGACGAGACACCGGGGAGCACGGCAGCGAAGATCAAGACGAAAGCCTCTGGCTCACCGCGTAAGGATTTCGTGAAAGACAAGACCACGTCCGAACGACCGACCGCGAGACCGGTACCGGTTATCATACGTTCGGCATCCGTGCAGCCAATGGAGGATTCCGAATGACGGTTAATGCCCCCTACCCACGCAGAACTCTGGAGTCTTCTTAGCTCGTGGATGGCTGAAAGAGTGTGGCTATGGGGGCGGGAGGTGACAGACGAAACGGTATGGAAGGTGGAATGCGCCATCACTTGTACTACTCTGTTGCTGGCTGCACAGGGGCAAGTCCCTTGGCTAACAAAATACCTCACGATTACTCAGGAGCTGCCCAGCCTGCTGGATTTGGACACCGGGGGCGTGTACGCTCTGGCTAGCCCGTGGACTAAGAAGGTATAAGTGGGTTGTACGGTGAGACCCATCATCCAAAGGTGGAGAGAGCATTGTAGGAATACGAGAAGCAATGCGCTTGGATAGTCACCACAGCTGTACCGATGGCTCTGTAGATTTGGACTGGATAGGTATGTTGTGATACCACGACACGCAAATAGCACGGATGACTATGCTTTCGAGAAGCACTTGATTTCGACTTTTAATCCTAGCTTGAACTCGAGGGACAGAGGGAAAGACGGAAAAGAGAAGTTGTCGAAGGGGAGACGGAGGAAGGGCAGACGGGAGAGAGGCGGACGCAGGAGAACACTGCGCTCGCAGAGAGTGATTACGATAGGATACCAGGGGATGCATATCACTTCGGTCCTTAGCTGGCCGACGGAACACATTGACGGGATGGAGATAACTATACAGTTTGGTAGCGGAGATAGCTGGATAGACGGCTGGAGGAGAATTAGGAGAGCTTTCGATGACTCTGAAATCGTGATTGGGGGAGAAGTATCGAGACTCAGCGGATCCAAGGCGGCATTGGAAGAGGGAGGGAAGGTGCGGTTCAAGCGAATTATTAAGTCAAAGACCACGACCGAGCGCAATAGGAGCTTGCTGATCACTCTGCTCAAGAGACCGAGACCGGATTCTAGACTGCAGCCTCTGCCTACAAAGAAGCTCATCGGCCTCTATAAGACCGCAGGCTTGTTCGGGGATAAGGGAACGAAGCACCGACTGCGCACGAAGCTGGATCGGGTCATAGCCCGGAAGACGGGCGTGACCATGAGAAAGAGGGTTAACATCAAACTGCTCTTTGACTCACGTATCCGGAAGAATGGTGTCAGGAGCTTGGCGGAGCGAGCGATTGATAGGGCAATTGAGGAGAAGCCTCTTGCGGATTTCGTGAAAACCAGATTCTGTGTCCTGTGGCTAAAGAACCGGACGGTGGCAGAGCTGCTACACAACCAGAAGAAATATGCAAATATGCAGGAGTACCCTTGCCCATGTAGATACTTGGATTTGCACAAAATGGAGGGACACGTGTCCACTCGTTTCTCGGAGATGGACGTACCTACCTTTGTCAGGAATTCCAAGAATGTGACCAAACCGACCAGAGCTATCAGCACGGACACACTGGCTAAGGCCTTACTTTTAGCGACCCAACACTTGAAGGTGAAGGAGATTCCAGAGATCGACCCAAGGGAGGTGCTGATCGGCGAACAGAGACCAAGTACAACCTGGACGGATGAGGAGGTGCTCAATTGGAAGGTGCGTCTAGATGGCCTGGTGCTCAGACCTATAGATCGCAATCAAGGTGACACGGCGGTACTGTGCCTCGTACTCTACCGGCATGGATTCAGTAAGACATTCTCTTGTAACACGAACTACGAAGCAGTGGGGACCTGGGAGGCTGAGGCGGAAGTCCTTAAAGAGAGCAGAGATGACTTCAGGAGGAGTGGACTTCAAGCAATTGGGACCTGGAAACCGGACGACCGCTTGGGGGCCGCCTACGTGATCCCCAAGCACAAGGATCTCACGCGGTGGAGGCCGATTGCGCCTGCACCCGCAGACCCGGCCTCGATGACACAGCGGAGAGTGGCGTGGGATCTGCATCAACTGCTGAAACGGCTAGCTGGCACTGCAGTACGTATGAGAGCCGCGGGCTGCGACAGTGCGATCAGGAGATGTTATGACATCAAGGACATGTTCTCCCGTATCCCACACGAAACCATGATACAAGCAGTACACCAATTGCTCAGACTCTACGATGATAATGGCTGCAAGCAGGTTGGAGTATCACGGAGGGGGAAGATCTGCGTCATCAGCAACAACAGGAGGAAGATGGACGGTTATGTGAGTTTGAAGTTGAAACTGATTTTGGAAGGCGTGAAGTACGACCTGAGACACGCTGTGGTGAAGTGCGGAGAGAAGATAGTGAAGCAGGTGTTTGGGATACCGATGGGCAAGTCAACTAGTTTGATACTTGCCTCGATCACATGCGCGATGGCCGAATTACGATTCGTCAACGAGCTTGGCGGGGACAGGAGACTGATTGGAGGCTGGAGGGTCATGGATGATATCTCGGTGATCACTGGAGTGCGGAAACAAGACCAGAAGAAAATACAGCAGGAAGACCTGTTCGCAACGTTTGAAGACATCTACGACCAGAACCTAGAGATTGTACGGAAGGATGAATGTGGCATGACCTGACAATTTATGGGAGGCGAAATGATGATTTGTCAAGCACCAATTCGACTGCACTATATCCCAAGGACGAAGAACTCGGAGAGTCTGCATCTGGATGGTGTGATGCGCTACCAGACAATCCAGGACTACAACTCCTATTCGGCTAAATCGGTCAAGAAGGCGGTATTGACCACGATGATTAAGAGGCTATGGGACCAGGCAACGAGTAAGGAACTGGTAGTAGGTGCCATCGGCTTTGCGGTATGTGAAGCAGACCTCTCTCTCGGTGCCCTGGCCAACTTGGCCAAGGTTGTGCCTAATCGAGCACTACACACTCTGACTTCAGCCTTCTCGTATACTACGAATCACGCAAGGAAACATAGGCGGGGTAGCCCCTCGGGAGGTTCCCATTCAAAGACGGACCCGCTGTCGAACCTTTGACAGCGGCTGAGGGGGTATGCTTTTCTCTGTTTTTTCTTGAAATTTTTGCAATGCAGTCTTTGTTTCGGTAACTTCAGGATCCGATGAATCCGAACGGGTTTCTGAACCTCGAGGTGGGCGGACTTTTGTTTTGATTAGTTTTGTTTTGTTTTGTTTGGTTTTGATTACTTTATTTAGATACTCGCATCTCCGACAGTTCGATAGTCGAATTTTGAAGGTGCGGGAACCCAGGAACTCTCGGAGCACCGACCCTTTGGTCGTTTTTGAATACCAAGGTTAGCTTTCGGCTAGAGGAAAAAACGAGTGTGGAATCGGGGCGGCAAAGATAGGTAATAGGATCGGCCTATAGGGCCCTATTGGTAGTTTTAGCAGGGCACTTACGGGGATAAAGAGGGCGTGGAATACGTAGTAGGGGTTATGAGTTGTCTTCAGCTGAACCGCCGCGAGAGTAACGTACGACAACCTGTGTGCTTACTTATTTTAAAACTTGGACGATAGGTACTTGACTTCTTGTCTCCGACGGATGGAGACGGGACGTAACGCGGAGGAAACTACTTAATGCAGGAGGCACGACTAGAGTCTCCTCTTCGAGCACGAAGGCTCTGTTTCGGAGTCACCCTCCTGATGATCCCGTGTGGGCGGGTGAAACCGGTAGAGGGGCGCCACATGTTGCTCTTTTGCAGTTTTGCATGCATGTTCACATACTTTCGGAACTCAGTTTTCGATTCCGTGTGTGTGTCTTGGCTATGGCTGCACAGACTGTTTAGCCGCAGTCTGCCTACTC